ATGGATGGGCACTTTTTATTTCACTTCTTTTGGACTGAGGCATGCAACACCCGCTGAGTGGCATTAAACAGCTTGAAAGATCAAAGACAATTTTTAATATAACTCCGACTGGATTCGTCTGAAAGAAGAAAGTCATATACACCTAGGATGCCTCTGGGGTGAGTAAAACACAGCCTAATTTTCATTTTGGGGTGAACTAACCCTTTAAGATGCCTCCTTTTGAGGCAAATAAGGTTTATTATAGAATGTTATCAATGCCATCTTTGTTAAAATTAATGTTATAACCAGCAGGAGCATAGGGCGTGAAGTCAGAAGCCTTGAAATATTAGGTTTTATGAAATATTATCATATGTTACTTACGATCAGATCTGAATGTTTATGTTCTCCAGTCTCAGCAGCTTCATCTTCTCTTCTGGTCACTGGTGTGGTTGTGGGATTGAGTGTTTGCCTGTTGTTCTTCCTCTCACTGCTGCTGATGTGGAGATACAAGAAGAACAAAGGTGTGGCGCAGTTCATAACATGATTAATACAACTGAACAACAACAATACAGTTTCTGAGTAAAGGCTCATGAGAAGATCTAAATATCAGACTAAAGAGTCACTGCAGATACTATTGAGTGATCATAATGCTCTTTGTTTCTGTTATAGATCAGCAGCGTAACATTAACCAGACATCAGTCCCAAATCAATCTGCACAATCTCAACTGGAAAACTCTCCTTTACAGTCTGGTCAGCCTCAATAACTAATTATTTAAAGGAATAGTACACATACAAAAATGTATTATTAATGTCTTTCCAAGTCTGTATGACTTTCTGTCATCTGTGGAACACACAGAAAGAAATATGTTGTCATTATTTTGAACTATCACTTTAAGCTTCATATAATCTTTTTTTTTTCTTCAAGACTGCTTTGCTATTTACCTCATATCTTCAAATGCTTGTTTGCTGTCCAGCAGGTTCTGATCACATTTATGACGACGTGACTGAAGTGAATAAGAGAGACAGAGGTTGAGTCTTAAACTTTATTTATACACATATAATTTAAAAATCAACAAATATCATTCAGTCATGTTGGCTTGAATTGTTTTAGATGATCCAGATCCCTTGGCAGAGGTCACATATTCAGAGGTCACTGTTAAGAAAAAGATGGACAAAGGTTAAAAAAAAAAACTCTTAACTTCACCTGTACAATATGATCAGTCTTTAACCACATTATTCCATTTCTAATTCAACAAATAAAAAATGCATATTTATTTCAAAATAATATCATTATTATTTTTCCAGGTAATACTAAGGCAGAGTCAAATAATGTGACATACTCAGAAGTCAGAACAAAAGGAAAGAAATGCAAAAGTAAAGGTGAGTTCCTGTTTTTTCCTGAAGTACAATATTTCCAGCATGTTCTGAATAATCTGATTGATCTTCGGTTTTGTAGATATTAATACTGCAGGACCCAGTGATTTGACTTACGCACAGATCAATATACAGGACAAAAAGAACACCAAGGGCAAAGGTAAACACACAACAAACTGCATCTAAACACAACTGTCTGAATGATTCATCACATTTAACTCTGATATAATGATTTTATAATATCAGGAAAATAAACCCTTTACAATTATAAACAGCACTAATAGAGCCAATTCATGCAACTTCATTTTCCAAATGTACTACATCAACCACGTCTGTATGTTGTTTACTGATTCCGCACTCTTGAATTTCAATGATAAATACAGGCCCAGACAGACTAGAGTCAGATAGCATCCTATTGTTTTTCATGATAGGTGCTGGACTTTCTGATATTCTGATTGAAATGAAATCTAAGGACAAACACAGAAGTAAATAAAGAGATGCTCTGAAATGCCAACAGCAGGTTACAGATCATGTGAAAAAAGTGTGTGAAATAAAACATTTGAACAGAACCTGGTTAAAAATAAATAAATAAAAAGGTTCTTAATCATAATTCTTTTAGCTGGACATTATATTAACATTGTTAATCAAAATACATTTTTTAATCAATATACACTTCTGTTTCTTTGTGCTTTGAGGGCCTCCACTCCTTCATGTGATCATGGATTATCATTTATTAGTGTTGCAGATGTATGGCATTATGTTCATTCGTTGCCTCTCTGTTGTTCTCTATCAGGGAAGAGCAGTGAGTCTGGAGACACTTTGTACTCTGAACTGAACCACAACAGAGATAGAGGTGAGAGAAACACAAAGTCAAGCTTCATCACGATTACAGTCAAAACACTAACCTTACAAAATAACCATCATGCACCGTTTCTGCTACAGATCAGAATGATTCCTAAAGTCACGTGGCTTGTTGAAGAAATGTATAAATCTTATATTGTATCATTATTTTATTGTTATTGATTATTTGTGTTCTTCAGATGCTGATGCTGGAGTTGGTGATGCAACTTATGCTCTAGCTTTTTGGAAGAAGGGTCACAAAAAGATTAAAACACGTAAGAATTCTGTTACAATAACTGACAACAAGCTCATAATTTGCACTCGTTCCTGCGGATTGTAATCTTAGAACTATAAAATGTCAAATGAATGAGCTCATTATTCATATCTCCTGCATAATGCATCATCTTTTATCTGCATGATCTGTTTAAAGGTCCCTGAGTGCCGAGAAGACAACAGACGGCTAAAAGAGATTCACACCAGCAGACACAGTAACACTTGCATTGCTTAAGAAATGAATCTGAGTGAACTGCTTATGCACATGCTTGATTGAAATACTTTAGAGATAGGCACTGTATTATCTGTACACATTATGTAGGGAAACAAATCTATCTATAATATATATTAAATCATTTTCCATTTGAGCACTTTTGTTTAACAGCTTTACGTGAAACTGCCCTTCAAGTTATTACATTATTACATGATTCGACTGGTGCTGTACAGCAATTAAACAGTGTAATTGGGCACTTGTTTGATAGATAAATATAACACGTTCTTTGTCTTATAAAATAATGCTTGTGTTTTTGCCAAGACGGTGAGGCTAAGATGATTTTCTTGCATATATTCATAAATACTGCTTTTTACATTCATATATTTTCCTCTATTTCATATATGCTGTTTTTTGCTACAGTTAATGAAGTCAGAGATTTGCATTTGCTAAATAAACACAAAAGAACAAACATTTGTATGTTTCCTTTGCATGATTTTTTTCACAGTTAGGGTCATTTTAACAACAGGTAAAAGTAATTAGAGAGAGTATAGGGTCCTATGTGTCAAGAAGTTTGATTGATGAGGGTCATAAAAATTCCAC